AACGTTTAACAAGGACCTAGAAGAACTAGAGAGCAAACAACAAATGACTAACAACACAATAAATGAAATTAAAAATTCTCTAGAAGGAATCAATAGCAAAATAACTGAGGCATAAGAACGGATAAGTGACCTGGAAGATAAAATAGTGGAAATAACTACCACAGAGCAGAATAAACAAAAAAGAATGAAAAGAATTGAGCACAGTCTCAGAGACCTCTGGGACAACATTAAACTCACCAATATTCAGATTATAGGGGTCCCAGAAGGAGAAGAGAAAAAGAAAGGGACTGAGAAAATATTTGAAGAGATTAGTGTTGAAAACTGCCCTAATACAGGAAAAGAAAGAGTCAGTCAAGTCCAGGAAGCACAGAGAGTCCCATACAGGATAAACCCAAGGGGAAACACGCCAAGACACATATTAATCAAACTATCAAAAATTAAATACAAACAAAAACTTTAAAAGCAGCAAGGGAAAAACAACAAATAACATAGAAGGGAATCCCCATAAGGTTAACAGCTGATCTTTCAGGAGAAACTCTGCAAGCCAGAAGGGAGTGGCAGGACATATTTAAAGTGATGAAAAAGAAAAGCAAACCTACAACCAAGATTACTCTACCCAGCAAGGATCTCATTCAGATTCGATGGAGAAATTAAAACATTTACAGATAAGCAAGAGCTAAAAGAATTCAGCACCACCAAACTAGCTTTACGACAAATGCTAAAGGAATTTCTCTAGGCAGGAAACACAAGAGAAGGAAAAGACCTACAATAACAAACTCAAAACAATTTAGAAAAGGGTAACAGGAACATACATAGCGATAACTACCTTAAATGTAAATGGATTAAATGCTCTAACCAAAAGACACAGACTGGCTGAATGGATACAAAAACAAGACCAGTATATATACTGTCTACAAGAGACCCACTTCAGACCTAGGGACACATACAGACTGAAAGTGAGGGGATGGAAAAAGATATTCCATGCAAATGGAAATCAAAAGAAAGCTGGAGTAGCAAATTCTCTCATCAGACAAAATAGACTTTAAAATAAAGACTATTACAAGAGACAAAGAAAGACACTACATAATGATCAAGGGATCAATCCAAGAAGAAGATATAACAATTGTAAATATTTATAAACCAAACATAGAAGCACCTCAATACGTAGGCGAATGCTAACAGCCATAAAAGGGGAAATCAACAGTAACACAATCATAATAGGGGACTTTAACACCCCACTTTCACCAGTGGACAGATCATCCAAAATGAAAATAAATAAGGAAACACAAGCTTTAAAAGATACATTAAACAACATGGACTTAATTGATATTTATAGGGAATTCCATCCAAAAACAACAGAATACACTTTCTGCTCAAGTGCTCATGGAACATTCTCCAGGATAGATCATATCTTGGGTCTCAAATCAAGCCTTGGTAAATTTAAGAAAATTAAAATCATATAAAGTATCTTTTCCGACCACAACGCTATGAGACTAGATATCAATTACAGGAAAAAAATCTGTAAAAAATACAAATACATGGAGGCTAAACAATACACTAGTAAATAACTAAGAAATCACTGAAGAAATCAAAGAGGAAATCAAAAAATACCTAGAAACAAATGACAATGAAAACATGATGGCCCAAAACCTATGCTATGCAGCAAAAGCAGTTCTAAGAGGGAAGTTTATAGCAATACAATCCTACCTCAAGAAACAAGAAACATCTCAAATAAACAACCTAACCTTAAAGCTAAAGCAATTAGAGAAAGAAGAAAAAATAAAAAACCCAAAGTTAGTAGAAGGAAAGGAATCATAAAGATCAGATCAGAAATGAAGGAAAAAGAAATGAAGGAAACAACAGCAAATATCAATAAAACTAAAAGCTGGTTCTTTGAGAAGATAAACAAAATTGATAAACCATTAGCCAGACTCACCAAGAAAAAAAAGGGAGAAGACTCAAATCGACAGAATTAGAAATGAAAAAGAAGAACTAACAACTGACACTGCAGAAATACAAAGGATCATGAGAGATTACTACAAGCAAATATATGCCAATAAAATGGACAGCCTGGAAGAAATGGACAAATTCTTAAAAAAGCACAACTTTCCAAGACTGAACCAGGCAGAAATAGAAAATATAAACAGACCAATCACAAGGACTGAAGTTGAGACTGTGAATAAAAATCTTCCAACAAACAAAAGACCAGGATCAGATGGCTTCACAGGTGAATTCTATGAAACATTTAGAGAAGAGCTAACACCTATCCTTCTCAAACTCTTCCAAAATATACCAGAGGGAGGAACACTCCCAAACTCATTCTACAAGACCACCATCACCCTGATACCAAAACCGACAACGATGTCACAAGGACAGAAAACTACTGGCCAATATTACTGATGAACAAAGGTGCAAAAATCCTCAACAAAATACTAGCAAACAGAATCCAACAGCACATTAAAAGGATCATACACCATGATCAAGTGGGGTTTATCCCAGGAAGGCAAGGATTCTTCAATATACGCAAATCAATCAATGTGATACACCACATTAACAAATTGAAGGAGAAAAAACATATGATCATCTCAATAGATGCAGAAAAAGCTTTCAACAAAATTCAACACACATTTAAAATAAAAACCCTCCAGAAAGTAGGCACAGAGGGAACTTACCTCAACATAACAGAGGCCATATATGACAAACCCATAGCCAACATTGTTCTCAGTCGTTAAAAACTGAAACTATTTCCTCTAACGTCAGGAATAAGACAAGGTTGTCCACTCTCACTATTATTCAACATACTGTTGGAAGTTTTAGCCATTGCAATCAGAGAAGAAATAGAAAGAAAAGGAATCCAAATCGGAAAAGAGGAAAAGCTGTCATTGTTCACAGATGACATGATACTATATATAGAGAATCCTAAAGAATCTACCAGAAAACCACTAGAGCTAATCAATGAATTTGGTAAAGTAGAAGGATACAAAGAAATCTCTTGCATTCCTATACACTAATGATGAAAAATCTGGAAGAGAAATTAAGGAAACACTCCCATTTACCATTGCAATAAAAAGAATAAAATACCTAGGAATAAACCTACCTAAGGAGACAAAAGACCTGTATGCAGAAAACTATAAGACACTGATGAAAGAAATTAAAGATGATACAAACAGGTGGAGAGATATCCCATGTTCTTGGATTGGAAGAATCAACATTGTGAAAATTGCTATACTACCCAAAGCAATCTACAGATTCATTGCAATCCCTATCAAACTACCAATGGTATTTTTCACAGAACTAGAACAAAAAATTTCACAATTTGTGTGGAAACACAAAAACCCCAAACAGCCAAAGCAATCTTGAGAAAGAAAAACGGAGCTAGAGGAATCAGGCTCCCAGACCTCAGACTATACTACAAAGCTACAGTAATCAAGACAGTATTGTACTGCCACAAAAACAGAACTATAGATCAATGGAATGAGATACAAAGCCCAGAGATAAACCCACACACCTATGGTCACCTTATTTTTGATAAAGGAGGCAAGAATATACAATGGAGAAAAGACAGCCTCTTCAATAAATGGTGCTGGGAAAACTGGACAGCTACATGTAAAAGAATGAAATTAGAACACTCCCTAACACCATACCCAAAAATAAACTCAATAAACTCAATAAACTCAATAAACTCAAATACCTAAATGTAACACGAGACGCTATAACACTCTTAGAGGAAAACATCGGCAGAACACTTAGACATAAATCACAGCAAGATCCTTTTGACTCACCTCCTAGAGAAATCCAAATAAAAGCAAAAATAAACACATGGCTCCTAATGAAACTTAAAAGCTTTTGCATAGTAAAGGAAACCATAAACAAGACGAAAAGACAACCCTCAGATGGGAGAAAATATTTGCAAATGAAGCAACTGACAAAGGATTAATCTCCAAAATTTACAAGCAGCTCATGCAGCTCAATATCAAAAAAAAAAAAAAAACCCAATCCAAAAATAGGTAGAAGACCTAAACAGATATTTTTCCAAAGAAGATATACAGATTGCCAACAAACATATGAAAGGATGCTCAACATCACTAATCGTTAGAGAAATGCAAGTCAAAACTAAAATGAGGTATCACCTCACACCAGTTAGAATGGCCATCATCAAAAAATCTACAAACAATAAATCCTGGGGAGGGTGTGGAGAAAAGCAAACCCTCTTGCACTGTTGATGGGAATGTAAATTGATACAGCCAGTATGGAGAACAGTATGGAGGTTCCTTAAAAAACTAAAAATAGAACTACCATATGACCCAGCAATCCCACTACTGGGCATATACCCTGAGAAAACCATAATTCATAAAGAGTCATGTACCACAATGTTCATTGCAGCTCTATTTACAATAGCCAGGACAGGGAAGCAACCTAAGTGTCCAGTGACAGATGAATGGATAAAGAAGATGTGACACATATATACAGTGGAATATTACTCTGCCATAAAAAGAAGCAAAACTGAATTATTTGTAGTGAGGTGGATGGACCTAGAGTCTGTCATACAGAGTGAAGTAAGTCGGAAAGAGAAAAACAAATGCTAACACATATATATGGAATCTAAAAAAATAAAAAAGGTCTGAAGAACCTGTGGGCAGGACAGGAATAAAGACGCGGACATAGAGAATGGACTTGAGGACACAGGGTGGGGAGAGGGTAAGCTGAGACAAAGTGAGAGAGTGGCATGGACATATATACACTACCAAATGTAAAATAGATAGCTATTGGGAAGCAGCTGCATAGCACAGGGGGATCAGCTCGGTGCTTTGTGACCACCTAGAGGGGTGGGATAGGGAGGGTGGGAGGGAGACGTAAAAGGGTGGAGACATGAGGATATATGTATATGTATAGTTGATGTACTTTGTTATAAAGCAGAAACTAACACACCATTATAAAGCAATTATACTCCAATAAAGATATTAAAAAAATCAGCAAAATAATGTAGGTTATTAGCAAACCTTTGAATGGTGGGTGTGCTCTCCATCTTGGAAGTTAATCGTGCCAAAGGTATCTGTAGAGCTTTTCATTGTGTGCTTTTCAACAGACCATTGTTCATTTTCACTATCGTTGGCAGCTGAGATGGTCCAGGGTTCATCTATCCCATAATGGTCTCTAATCAATCGCCCACAGTAACACCTTAAATTTGGGATAAATACCAATTTCAAAATAGAAAACACACAATTTCAGAATAGAAAATAGATGTAATGTTTCTACATGTTCCTAGGGTAATATAAAGATGACATGTATTAACAAGTTTTAAAACTTCACACTGAGATTTATATTTGATTTCCAACACTGGGTTGTTTTCTAAGTTTAAAAACATTCTCACTGCTTCTCTCCCTTGGCTACACATTAGAATCATTTTGGGGATGTTTTAAGAAAACACTACAAATCTCTTACACACCCATGTTCATAGCAGCGTTATTCACAACAGCCAAGTGGTAGCAGCAACCCATGTATTCATTAATAGATGGATGAATGAACAAAATGTAGTACACACATTCAATTTTGCAAGATAAAAAGTTCTGTAGATCCATAACACAACAATGGGAATATACTTAACACTAATGAACTGTACTCTTAAAAATGATTAAAATAGTAAAGAAAACAAAAACAAACATCAAATTGTATATTTTAAATATGTGCAGTCTATGTCAATTATAGCTCAAAAACTATTTTTAAAAAATAATATTGTGAACAGTCATTGACAGGAAGACACTGGAACTCACCAAAAAAGATACCACACATCCAAAGACAAAGGAGAAGCCACAATGAGATGGTAGGAGGGGCGCAGTCACAATCAAATCAAATCCTGTAACTGCTGGGTGGGTGACTCACAAACTGGAGAACACTTATACCACAGAAGTCCACCCACTGGAGTGAAGGTTCTGAGCCCCACGTCAGGCTTCCCAAACTTGGGGTCTGGCAACGTAAGAAGGAATTCCTAGAGAATCAGACTTTGAAGGGTAGTGGTATTTGACTGCAGGACTTCAACAGGACTGGGGGAAACAGAGACTCCACTCTTAGAGGGCACACACAAAGTAGTGTGCGCATCAGGACCTAGGGGAAGGAGCAGTGACCCCATAGGAGACTGAAACAGACCTACCTGCTACTGTTGGAGGGTCTCCTGCAGAGGCAGGGGGTGGCTGTGGCTCACTATGAGGACAAGGACACTGCAAGCAGAAGTTCTGGGAAGTACTCCTTGGCGTGAGCCCTCCCAGAGTCTGCCATTAGCCCCCACAAAGAGCCGGGTAGGCTCCAGTGTTGGGTCACCTCAGGCCTGTTTGATTGCTTACCAACAGGGAGGGAACCCAGCCCCACCCATGATCAGACAAGTGGATTAAAGTTTTACTGAACTCTGCCCACCAGAGCAACAGCGAGCTCTACCCACCACCAGTCCCTCCCATCAGGAAACTTGCACAAGCCTCTTAGATAGCCTCATCCACCAGAGGGCAGACAGCAGAAGCAAGAGGAACTACAATCCTGCAGCCTATGGAACAAAAAACACATTCATATAGAGACAGACAAGATGAAAAGGCAGAAGGCTATGTACCAGATGAAGAAACAAGACAAAACTCCAGAAAAACAACTAAATGAAGTGGAGAGATGCAACCTTCCAGAAAAAGAATTCAGAATAATGATAGTGAACATGATCCAGGACCTCGGAAAAAGAATGGAGGCAAAGATCAAGAAGAAACAAGAAATGTCTTACAAAGACCTAGAAGAATTAAAGAACAAACAAACAGAGATGAACAATAACTGAAATGAAAAATACACTAGAAGGAACCAATAGCAGAATAACTGAGGCAGAAGAATGGATAAGTGACCTGGAAGACAGAATGGTGGAATTCACTGCCATGGAACAGAATAAAGAAAAAAGAATGAAAAGAAATGAAGACAGCCTAAGAGACCTCTGGGACAACATTAAATGCAACAACATTCACATTAGGGGTCCCAGAAGGTGAAGAGAGACAGAAAGGACCTGAGAAAATATCTGAAGAGATTATAGTCGAAAACTTCCCTAACATGGGAAAGCAAATAGCCACCCAAGTACAGGAAGCGCAGAGAGTCCCATACAGGATAAACCCAAGGAAAAACACGCCGAGACACATAGTAATCAAATTGACAAAAATTAAAGACAAAGAAAAATTATTGAAAGCAACAAGGTAAAAACAACAAATAACATACAAGGGAACTCCTACAAGGGTAACAGCTGATTTCTCAGCAGAAACTCTACAAGCCAGAAGGAAGTGGCATGATATATTTAAAGTGATGAAAGGGAAGAACCTACAACCAAGATTACTCTACCCAGCAAGGATCTCATTCAGATTCGACGGAGAAATCAAAAGCTTTACAGACAAGCAAATGCTAAGAGAACTCAGCACCACCAAACCAGCTTTACAACAAATGCTAAAGGAACTTCTCTAAGTGGGAAACACAAGAAAAGAAAAAGACCTACAAGAACAAACCCATGGGCTTCCCTGGTGGCGCAGTGGTTGAGAGTCCGCCTGCCGATGCAGGGGACACGAGTTCGTGCCCTGGTCCAGGAAGATACCACATGCCGTGGAGCGGCTAGGCTCATGAGCCATGGCCACTGAGCCTGCACGTCTGGAGCCTGTGCTCCGCAACGGGAGAAGCCACAACAGTGAGAGGCCCGTGTACAGCAAAAAAAAAAAAACATAACAATTAAGAAAATGGGAATACGAACATACATATCGATAAGTACCTTAAACATGAACGGATTAAAAGCTCCAACCAAAAGATACAGGCTCAGTGAATGGATACAAAAACAAAACCCATGTGTATGCTGTCTATAAGAGACCCACTTCAGACCTAGGGACACATACAGACTGAAAGTGAGGGGATGGAATAAGGCATTCCATGCAAACGGAAATCAAAAGAAAGCTGGAGGAGCAGTACTCATATCATATAAAATAGACTTTAAAATAAAGAATGTTACAAGAGACAAGGAAGGACACTGCATAATGATCAAGGGATTAATCCAGGAAGAAGATATAACAATTATAAGTATATATGTACCCAACATAGGAACACCTCAATACATAAGGCAACGGCTAACAGCGCTAAAAGAGGAAATTGACAGCAACACAATAATAGTGGGGGACTTTAACGCCTCACTTACACCAATGGAAAGATCATCCAAATAGAAAATTAATAAGGAAACACAAGCTTGAAATGACACAATAGACCAGACAGATTTAATTGATATTTATAGGACATTCCATCCAAAAACAGCAGATTACACTTTCTTTTCAAGTGCACATGGAACATTCTCCAGGATAGATCACATCTTGGGTCAAAAATCAAGCTTCAGTAAATTTAAGAAAAGTGAATTCATATCAAGCATCTTTTTTGACCACAATGCTATGAGATTAGAAATCAATTCCAGGGAAAAAAACATAAAAAACACTAGCACATGGAGGCTAAACGTTACTAAATAACCGAGAGATCACTGAAGAAATCAAAAAATACCTAGAGACAAATTACAATGAAAATACAACGATCCAAAACCTATGGGATGCAGCAAAAGCAGTTCTAAGAGGGAAGTTTATAGCTATACAAGCCTACCTCAAGAAACAAGAAAAATCTCAAATAAACAATCTAACCTTACACTGAAAAAACCTAGAGAAAGAGGAACAAACAAAACCCAAAGTTAGTTGAAGGAAAGAAATGATAAAGATCAGAGCAGAAATAAATGAAATAGAAACAAAGAAAACAGTAGCAATGATCAATAAAACTAAAAGCTGGTTCTTTGAGAAGATAAACAAAATGGATAAAACATTAGCCAAACTCATCAAGAAAAAGAGGGAGAGGACTCAAATCAATAAAATTAGAAATGAAAAAGGAAAAGTTACAACAGACACCGCAGTAATACAAAGCATCCTAAGAGAATACCACAAGCAACTCTATGCCAATAAAATGGACAACCTGGAAGAAATGGACAAATTCTTAAAAAAGCACAACTTTCCAAGACTGAACCAGAAAGAAATAGGAAATATGAACAGAACAATCACAAGCACTGAAATTGAAACTGTGATTAAAATCTTCCAACAAACAAAAGTCCAGGACCAGATGGCTTCGCAGGAGAATTCTATCAAACATTTAGAGAAGAGCTAACACCCATCCTTCTCAAATTCTTCCAAAAAACTGCAGAGGAAGGAACACTCCCAAACTCATTCTATGAGGCCACCATCACCCTGATATGAAATCCAGAAAAAGATACTACAAAAAAAGAAAATTATAGACCAATATCACTGATGAATATAGATGCAAAAATCCTCAACAAAATACCAGCAAACAGAATCCAACAACACATTAAAAGGATCATACACCATGATCAAGTGGGATTTATCCCAGGGACGCATGGATTCTTCAAAATACTCAAATTAATCAACGTGATACACTATTAAGAAACTGAAGAATAAAAACCATATGATCATCTCAATAGATGCAGAAAAACCTTTTGACAAAATTCAACACCCATTTATGATAAAAGCTCTCCAGAAAGTGGACATAGAGGGAACCTCCCTCAACATAATAAAGGCCATATATGACGAACCCACAGCAAACATCATCCTCAGTGGTGGAAAACTGAAACCATTTCCTCTAAGATCAGGAACAAGACAAGGATGTCCACTCTCACCACTATTATTCAACATAGTTTTGGAAGTCCTAGCCACGGCAAGCAGAGAGGAAAAAGAAATAAAAGGAATACAAATTGGAAAAGAAGAAGAAAAACTGTCACTGTTTCCAGAGGACATGATACTATACATAGAGAATCCTAAAGATGCCACAAGAAAACTACTAGAGCTAATCAATGAATTTGGTAAAGTTGCAGGATACAAAATTAATGCACAGGAATCTCTTGCATTCCTATACACTAATGATGAAAAATCTGGAAGAGAAATTAAGGACATACTCCCATTTACCACTGCAACAAAAAGAATAAAAAACGTAGGAATAAACCTCCCTAAGGAGACAAAATACCTTTATGCAGAAAACTATCAGACACTGATGAAAGAAATTAAAGATGATACAAACAGATGGAGAGACGTACCATGTTCTTGGATTGGAAGAATCAATACTGTGAAAATGACTATACTACCCAAAGCAATCTACAGATTCAGTGCAATCCTTATCAAATTACCAATGGCACTTTTTACAGAACTAGAACAAAAAATCTTAAAATTTGTATGGAGACACAAAAGACCCCAAATAGCCAATGCAGTCTTGAGGGAAAAAAACAGAGCTGGAGGAATCAGACTCCATGACTTCAGACTATACTGCAAAGCTATAGTAATCAAGACAATATGGTACTAGCACAAAAACAGAAATACAGATCAATGGAATAGCATAGAAAGCCCAGAGATAAACCCATGCACCTATGGTCAACTAATTTATGAGAAAGGAGGCCAGGATATACAATGGAGAAAAGACAGTCTCTTCAATAAGTGGTGCTGGGAAAACTGGACAGCTACATGTAAAAGAATGAAATTAGAACACTCCCTAACACCATATACAAAAACAAATTCAAAATGGATTAGAGATTGAAATGTAAGACTGGACACTATAAAACTCTTAGAAGAAAACATAGGAAGAACACTCTTTGACATAAATCACAGCAAGATTTTTTTGATCCACCTCCTAGATTAATTGAAATAAAAACAAAAATAAACAAATGGGACCTAAAGAAACTTAAAAGCTTTTGCAAAGCAAAGGAAACTACAAACAAGACGAAAAGACAACCCTCAGAATGGGAGAAAATTATTTGCAAATGAATCAATGGACAAAGGATTAACCTCCAAAATATATAAACAGCTCAATATTAAAAAAAAAACAAACAACCCAATCAAAAAATGGGCAGAAGACCTAAGCAGACGTTCCTCCAAAGAAGACATACAGATGGCCAAGAAGCACATGAAAAGCTGCTCAACATCACTAATTATTGGAGAAATGCACATCTAAACTAAATGAGGTATCACCTCACACCAGTTAGAATGGGCATCATCAAAAAATGTACAAATAACAAATGCTGGAGAGGATGTGGAGAGAAGGGAACCCTCTTGCACTGTTGGTGGGAATGTAAATTGATACATCCACTATGGAGAACAGCATGGAGGTTCCTTAAAAAACTAAAAATAGAATTACCATGTGACCCAGCAATCCCACTACTGGGCATATACCCAGAGAAAACCATAATTCAAAAAGACACATGCACCCCAATGTTCATTGCAGCTCTTTTTACAATAGCCAGGTCATGGAAGCAACCTAAATGCCAATCGACAGATGAATAGATAAAGATGTGGTACATATATACAATGGAATATTACTCAGCCATAAAAAGGAATGAAATTGGGTCATTTGTAGAGATGTGGATGGATCTAGAGTCTGTCATACAGAGTGAAATAAGTCAGAAAGAGAAAAACAAATATCATATATTAATGCATATATGTGAAACCTAGAAAAATGGTGCAGATGAACTGGTTTGCAGGGCAGAAATAGAGACACAGATGTAGAGAACAAATGTATGGACACCAAGGGGGGAAAGTGTGGGAGTATGTGGTGGTGGTGGGATGAATTGGGAGATTGGGATTGACATATACATATCACTAATATGTATAAAAGAGATAACTAATAAGAACCTGCTGTATAAGAAATAAATTAAATTAAATTTAAAAAATCTTAATAAGAAGATTAAGAAAAATCCTCATGTGAAATGTAAGATGCACATCAAAAGGAAGGACTTAATTAATGCAAAAAAATAGATGCAACTTCAGAGAAATATATAAACATAGAACTGTTTATTTGTCTTACCTGATTAAATTCTGACAAACCTGGCATCCTGCAGTACATCTTAATTAAAGAAATAAAACCACTGTTAGTTTATTAATATATTTGAAAACATATTTAATGCTTATTCAGTAAATATCTGTTAATCTTCCATAATCTGGAAATCAGGGTTTACTGAGTACTCATACATCATCTCCCAAATATTCCCAGATGTCATTTACCATATAGAATTACATTGCAGCAACTATGATCTAATTAACAGAATACTGAGTTTGGAACCAAAATACCTGGATTTAAATCTCAATGATTTAACAATTCCTCTAAGCCCCAGTTTTCACATCTGAAAATAATATCCGAACCATACAGTTATTAAAATGATTAAGAGTGATAATATATGTAAAGTGTCTTATAGTATCTGGTACATTGCAGGATGTATAAAAATGGTGGCTATTGTTATTATACTATGAAGATAACACAGAATTCCTGAGAATTAAGTAAGAAAACATACATATACAATTTTAAAACCCTAAAACACTATCAAACTGAGGAACAGTTTGTATGATTATAATAATTATATTTATTAATCTCTTTCTTATGATTCAAAAAAGCCTTCTGGATTTGGGAGTTAGCATTATGATCATCAATGATCATATTTTAAGTGTGAAGAAGTTTTAACTAGAAAAGAAATCTAGGTAAAATAATGGAAGAAAAGGTAGTGTTCATAGAATCAATCATTCTAAATTATTCAGAGATGAATATTCAGGTCTTTCACTTCTTCCTGTCCCCAGCCTTTTAGAAATCTTTTTTCTCAGAAGCTTCACTTCAACAAGCTCCACATGTGAAAGAAAAAGACGTTGTAATCAAGTCTATCAGATTTGTTTCTTATTAGGAGCTACAAAAAGAATCAGTAAAAGACAAACCTTCATCTAAATTTAAAATAGTGAACTACCACTCTTTTGCTGTGTTCCATAAGGAAGAAAACTGCATGAAAGCCACAGTTTTGAGAATCTTACTAGGATCTAAGAAAAAGGCTGGCATGGAAGGAATAGCCATAGTCACCCATCCATTTTTTACAATCACAAAATAAGAGAGACTGCTTTTTTCCCATAAAAAGTAGTATATCTTCCACCATTCATGGAATTATGATCACTGATACTCTTCTTGAGTCTGTAGGCTAATGACCTATAGTTTACCACTTTTCATGAGGTTCAAGGTGACTGTGAAGATGATTTTCCATTTACAGAGCAGTGGAAGCCACCTGAGCTCAATGTGCCTTCTACTGCAGCCACTATCATATTACAAAATCTCATAAAAGATGAAGGGAAAAAACAAGGTTACCCTGCCTTTTTATTCTGTAAACATTTTATAAGCAGGTAAAATGAGGATTTCCAATCACGCGGCTTACAAGCCACAGGTAACTCAAAGAGGGTGGGACTAGTAAATATTTAACAAAGGCAAAGAACACTATTTTAGTCATCATCCCCAAAGAACTAGAATTTCAGTGGCCTCACCTGCTACCTTTCATGAGCATACAGCTGTGATTTCTAAACTTCAAATGAATGTAAGGCCAAACGCTCAGCAGAATCTAAAAATAGAGTGGTCCCCCTAATTAAAATACTGCTCTCCTATTTTCCTTTCCTTTTAATTCTTTTCCCCCAGGGCAATGCTACCCAATCTTAATTTCATGGACCCGATTACCCTGGGGAATTTTCCATAGACCTCTCTTCCTCTATCTTTCACTGGCTGCTGTTTTGAACTTTGTTCTACAAGTAGAACTTCCAAAGGGTTGTCAAGAACTCAGAATAATCAAATGCAAATCATTCCATTCTGCTGCCCATTATCTGCTTAAGCAAAAAGCCTGCAGGAGGAAAAAATTAACTGTTTGCATAATCTGAGCATGGAGTCCTGAAATATCCCAGTTACTACATTCACAGACACTTGGGGATAAGGAAGTCACACTATTTTGAATATTCAATACTCAAAAGTTGTAAATTTTTTATCCAAACCCGGTGGAATGGATGTAGCACTAGATATTTCCCTGGTATCTATCCTCCCAGGAAGAGGAACAGGAACATCAAAGATAAAGCAGCAGAGTGAAATCTACCACAATATTAACAGTGGCTCCACAGGGCAAACAAGTCATATCTCTAAATTTCAGTAAACAGTCCTCCAAGTACTGTTGCTTTAAAAAGAAAAATGTAATTAAAAATTGTACCTGTGAGGGTCCTTTGAGCTGGGTATGATTTTGTTACATTCTCTCTTGTCGAACACTCCTTCAATCCAGGATTTCTGGGACTGAATAGAAAAATGTCATTATTTTCATAGTCTCATTAAATGAAAACACAGTATAACCACAGTAGTCCAGGTAGGCAAGATATACTTAAATATAATAGACCCTAATTAAAATGCCAAGACCAGCCCCAAACCCCTAAGCATTTATTAGGTTCTATTACAGACAACATAGACACAAATAAGCCAATGTGAACACAAAAATATTCACAAAGTTAATTGGTCCACAATCTCATTTTAAGTGAAAGATCCCTAAATGCACAAAACTCTACCAAGGAAGTAAAGATATAGCGGAAGCATTCTCTTAATTCTGCCAAAAGTCACTTTTAAATCTTGTACCATAACCCTACAGAGTGAATATTAAGCTCTCAAACTTCAGAATTCTCACTTATAAAGTCCCACTTTGGCTAAGATTTGACAGGAAGCTGGAAAGAGTGTCAGAGGAGAGATGTAACCTCAGCAAGATTCTGTAAAAGAGTTCAATCTAAAACAAATCTGGAGGATATGTAATGGAGAATATCACACGTGTGCCCTCAGAAGGGAACTAACCGAGAAACTGATTTCCCATAAATGCCTGATTCAGAGAAGACGAGACTTATTTCCTGACCAATAACCATATGCCAAGAATCTCTCCCCATCCTCAAGACAATGAATTTACTGCTTAGACACTGGCTGGACGTCTCCCTCTTTGCACTCCCTGCCCCAAACTCTCAACAGACTCGCCTGTAGCTTGCTACAGCATGCATTTCCCAAATTCAATTCCTCTGCTATTCCTGAATAAACTCAACTTCTGATCATTCAGGCTTGCCTCAGTTTACCTCTTTATTTAGGTTGACAATTTGATACACATTGTATAAGCATGGCTTACCATTGGCTGAATTTCAAAATATCTGAATTCATTCAACAAATATTTTGAAATAGGCCTCCATATGGCATGCTGGGAATTCAATGCAAATAAGACAAAGTTCTTACTCTGAAGGAACTTAGAATAAAAAGAAGGAAACGGATAACAAGCTGATATCATTAAACTTCATGTGTAACATTTACCTATTAAAAATGGCTCCGGGGGCTTCCCTGGTGGCGCAGTGGTTAAGAGTCCGCCTGCCGATGCAGGGGACACAGGTTCGTGCCCCGGTCCGGGAAGGTCCCACATGCCGCGGAGCCGCTGGGCCCGTGAGCCATGGCCGCTGAGCCTGCGCGTCCGAAGCCTGTGCTCCGCAACGGGAGAGGCCACAACAGTGAGAGGCCCGCGTACCGCAAAAAAAAAAAAAAAGGCTCCAGGGACTTCCATGGTGGTCCATTGGGTAAGATTCCACACTCACAATGCAGGGCGCCCAGGTTCAATCCCTGGTTAGGGAACCAGATCCTGCATGTGTGCTGCAACTAAGAGTCCGCATGCCACAACTGAGTCCACATGCCACAATTAAGACCCGGTGCAGCCATAATTAATTAATTAATTTTAAAAAACGAGCTCCAAAAAGGGTCCCTAATTTAGCAGCCTATGTATACAAATTAAGCAAGCTATGCTCAACCACTCCCTTCTTTTAAAAGGCTAGACAGCTGAATCTAGTAGAATGATGTGGGCAAATTACTTTCTTCAGGCCTGTTTTCCCATCTATTAAAAAGGAGATAATAACAGTAATACCTACTGTTGGGCTACTGAAAGGAATTAAGGCTTAGATTTCTCCCTGGGACTTACTCGGGCTCAGTAAAGCTTAGTTATTATTATTGGTAATATCAAAGGTAAAAATTAGCTTTTTGGTTGGTAGCATGGGAACTTAACTTTGATGTATTTTTTTCATAGAAAAATACTTCCTGACCTCCAAATCTCCCTCCTATGACCTCTCATATTTCAAACGAATGACTTTTATGGGTCCATTTTCCCTCACTAGACTCCAGCTCCTACAGGCCCCATGCCAGTCATTTCTGTTGCCCCAGGGCCCAACCCAATGATTGTTGAATGAGCAACAAAATGAACACACTTAAAATAGAACTTCAAGAATCCATGTATACAATTTTCTCTCCAAGGGTGTAAACAGGAAACCTGTGCCATAACAAGAACATGGAAACATTCCTCCTGCAACTCCCATATCTTATCTCAAAACTACAGGAAAAGAAAAGCAGGCTTAATTTGCAAGTGTTTCAAACAATTCTTCAATTTAGAACTTTACTTTTTCCCCCTACCTCATAACAGTAGCCTTTGCAATATACTCTTCAGCACATATGGAAGAGGTCCCCCCATGTTCAGTTCAACAGAGAACTATTAGGAACCATATGTTTGTTAGTTCTGATTCAATAGCCCAAATCTATTGAGACCAAATACTCAACATGTGTTTGCCACTTGGAGCAGCACATTGTCATTGACGGCAGAGAATATTTCATTTCTGCAACTATCATGACAGTCTTTAGAGACTGGGTGTTTTTTATATACTGGGGCAGGAGAGTTGTGTTTTAACTGTGGTTGTTATTTGGGGAAGGGAAAGGCAGAGGATAAAGAAGGGAAATAGTGTTGGTCTCAGGCTGTGTTGGCACAAATAGTTTGCCTTACCCTAAAATATAATCAGATTTTACATACAAGCCCAGCGCTGGGGAATAGCAAAGAAATGTCCAAAGACTAATCCTCTAATGGTAGCTATACATGAATTAATTCCTGATGTCACTGAAAGTATTTCTACACTGGGGCTTTTTAGGGTTTCCAGATAACAGATTCTTTCTCAGGGGAATCTCTGAGAAGGAATAGTCTTACAGGTATTCCTTGATTTAAAAAAAAATCCTTCTAAATGTACATGGATTTTTTTTTAAACATCCAGGGGACTGTGTGATTGGGGGTTGAAGGGCACACAGCTAACAAGTAATTTATTTTCTTTTTAAAAACTTGTCCATACTTAAAAAAATCTAACATTTAAAAAATACTTTTCCAGGTGAAACTACTTCCTTTTTATAGCCCCCACTCTAATATACATCACAGCACTCACAGTGCTTAACTGCACCTATTCAGTTGTTTTTTCCTTAACATTATTGTAATCTACTTCAAGATAAGCATTAGTTTATTTATCATGGAATCTATAGCATGCAGGGAAGCACCAGAATGGATCAAATAGAGAAAATATTTTCAGACTCCAGACTGACATTTTTTATTTTCTCTACACAGTCCCTCCCTTGGAGCAAGGACCTCTTCAAACTGAGTGCCAGGCAGATGGATTTCCACAGTGCACGATCTGTTGGCTGGGGAAACTCATCAGTGCAAAGCCAGCCTGTATACTTTGAAGACTCAGGGTCTCCTACAGGGTTTTGTCCACAATCTGAGGGATACCTTGGGGGACTCACTTGATCCAAGATTAAGAGTCTCAGGCAAAGGGCATCCAAACCTAAAATAATCCAAACCCAAGGATCTGGCTCGCCAACACTGCCACAAGTTGATCTCACTGGTGTTCCGGTAAATAATCTTTCCAGAAGGCAGCATTTAGGAGTACTTCATAAAGAACACAAAATAACCTTACGTGTTTTCTTCTCTTTGGGTAGTTAGAGGGCACTATTTGCTGGTAATGATTTCTTTTTTCTTTTCTTTTGTAACATCTTTAATAGAATGTTAACTAAATAACTCACAATTCCCTAAAATGCCACTTCTCCTGTTTAGGTGAGAAATTTATATGAAATTTTCGTATACTGCCTTGTTGAGCAAAAGCATTTAGAACTTCAGAATGACTGTTTAGATTATATAAACTCATGAGTACATGAGTAAAACATTTATGAATTCTCCACAGAGTCTAATGGGGAATTAGAAGAACTCAACAGTGACCTACTTAGTAGAGCATATCATAAAAGTTCAAACTAAAATACCATACCCCATCCCTCCACTCCCCAGATTGGTGAAAGCCCTCTTTATGTTAGTCCAAAATCACAATTTCAAATGGCAATGAGAAGACATCCTTTCCTCTGTCACACATGCTTCAGCCTTATTCAGTATCCTAGGGAATTAAACTTGCAAACAAGATGTTTATAATTTCAGATCATGTGAAATCATTTTGATAAGAAGGGAAAAGGAAATGGGAGGTTTCCCTTTTGGGTGTTCTTTACAACTGCCCGTGGAAAGTGAAATACAGAGTTTAACTGAATGCTGGGCCTATTTGTTGTATAACCACTCTAACCTATTAAGGTTTCCAAGTTAGATATACTCAATTTCCAATTTCCACCCAGCAAAATATCCACAAATATGTTATCCAAGTACACAGATGGTCTTCATTTATGCTACAAATATCTTGTTAAATTATCCAAAACTTTACTAGGACTACATCCAAGTGAACTACATAGTCTAAAAAACAACTTCTTGGAGTGAAGCTTCACTATTAGTGGAGCTATACTCAAATAACTGACTTTTAGAAAACCCACCATCCTCTGAGACAATAAAGCCTTTATTAGGAATTACAGGTTAAAGGCAATTTCATTTATGTCATCCATAGTAAGCTTTATTTGTACAATGAAGATTACTTGTTTCATTTTCTAAGTGTAACACGGCAGAAAGAACAATGCTTCTTGAAATTCCATGCAGACACATACCACATATTTAACTTGGACAAATTCAAAATCTGCTAAAAGACTGAGAGAGGGCTTATCATATTGAGTGAAGTCAGTCAGACAAAGACAAATATTATATGATATCACTTATATGGAGAATCTAAAAAAGATACAAATGAATTTTTTTACAAAATATAAATAGACTAACAGACATAGAAAACAAACTTATGGTTACCAAAGGGGATAGCGGGGGTTGGGGGGAGGTGGGAGGGATAAATTAGGAGTTTGGGATTAACAGACACACACTACTATATATAAAATAGGTAAATAACAAGGACCTACTATATAGCACAGGGAACTGTACTCAATATCTTGTAATAATCTATAATGGAAAAGAATCTGAAAAAGAATACATGCATATATATGTGTGTGTGTGTGTGTGTGTGTGTAGCTGAATCACTTTGCTGTACACTTGAAACTAATACAGCATT